GAGGGCCCACTGACTACATGAAGGACCTGCTTTTAAATCTCTTGGGTACCAGCCAAATACGTGGGCCGTCCATTTATTATTCCTCACTCTTTGTGTACAACTGAGCCATCTCCTTTTCAGCTATCCATTTCACAGATATTTTTTCACCATTTCTCCTTGCTAATTCATCGGCGCCAGTAGGTAGCTTACCATGCACTCACCATGTATCTCTAAGTTACTTTTTAGGTGATCTGCAGTTTTGATCCCTTAGAGATTGTAATATTCCATGAAGCAGCATCTAGTTATCACAGTGGATGTAGCACTAGGCATGGAATCAAGAAGACCTGAGTTCAAATCCAGCCTCAGACCCTTACTGGTTATATGATTCTAGGCAAGTCATTTAATTTCTCTCATCCTCAGTCCCCTCATCTATAAAATGAAGGTAATAGTAGCACCTCCCTCCCAATGTTGTTATGAGGATCAAATGAGATAATCATGGTAAAGTGCTTGGCACATAGTGAATGTTATGTAAATGTTAGCTATTAATAATAATAATAATAACATATAAAAAGCTTTGCAAACTTTAAAGCACTGTTTAAATGCTAGCTATCAAGTGTTATTTGCTGCCATATGGCATCATCAAAAAAATAATAACTTGCTAAGAAAAAAAGTAGGGAGAAGCGTGGAGTAATTAAAAGAACTAAATAATTTCCCAAATTCCTTCCAACTCACATTCGTACTATTCAATTCTAGACCCAATTCATTGTTCAGCTACAATAACTGACCAAGATTTGCCATGTGTACTAATGAGCCAGCTTTATGGGTTGTCTGTCCAACTGCATATTATAGTCTAGATGGGCTCTTGACTTTTTTCATGCCATGGATCCCTTTGACACTCTGGGGAGGCATATGGACCCTTCTCAAAATAAAATTTTAAAAGCATAAAATAAAATACATAGGATTACAAAGGGAACCAATTACATCGAAATGCAATTGTCAAAGTGTTGTTTTTAAAAAAAAAAAAGTTCACAGACCACAGGCTAAGAAGACCTTTAAACAAGAGACAATATTCATCCACTTATTTTTTCCTCTGTAAATAGTTAGGTTTTGAGTGCTCATTTAGGAATCTCTGCATTATTCCAGGACTCTGATATAAGTACAATGTTAGTCTCAAAAACTACCTTTTATACAAAACTCTTCAAAATATTTTAGACTCTGTGCCTCCACTACAGTGGCAAACACCTTCAGCAATTCAGTTAATAATCAAGGTTTTTTATTTATTTTGTTACATGTACCAAGGAATCATGTATGATTTAACATATACCTTGGAGAACTCTCTTAAAGAAGCCTTTATGGTGGCATTTTGCACTAAGGAATCAAAGGCTTTTTTATGATCAACAGACAATAAGCACAACAAAATCTTTATGTTCTTTGCACCATATAATCACCTGTATGACTCTGAAAATGTGGTCTGCTATACAGTATTGTTTACAAAAGCCTACCCTCTCCCTTCTTATAGTTTCATCAAGGATACCCTCAGTATATATGTAGATTATTTTCATAAAGATTTAATACAAAAGTAAAAGTAGATATATAGGTCAGTCTTTTCTAATATTTTCTGGATTTTCAGTTGTCATAAAAAGAAACCCAAATTGGTCTAGAAACCACCTTAGCCAGCAAACCCATGTCTCCTTGCCAAATAGAGGGTTATAGCAGACGAGCAATACAGATTTAGAATATAAAGTCTTACAAAGCAGTGTAGCAAAAAACTGTGGACATTATCTACTTATAAAACAGTGAGAAGCTATTGAGAATAATCATGTTTAAAAAAAAGCTTCAAGAGAGACCCAGCTAGGTTGTCATCCAAAAATAAAGAATGAAATTGAAAAGACAACAACAAGCAAATGAAAAATGGAAATAATTATAGACTCCTAAACCAAAACTTTTTCACCATAAAGGCTGGAAGAACCACTCTAGTGGAAATATAATATCACAGTCCCAGATATGGTACATAAGGAAGAAGAAATTGTGTTTTAAAACAAAGTGGGGAAAATAGCTGAACTAGCCCAAGTAGACACAGAAGAGATCAGTATAGTTTTGCAGGCATTGAAGAAGGTAGCTGAAAAAGTGTGAGATACCTAAGATGTTGGGAAAAAATCTCAGCATTTATTTTTACCCAGGATTTAGTGACTGAAAAAATATAAATAACCTCTAACCTATATGCTCATTTTCCCACTTCTACCAAATTTTTATGAGAAGCTACACAAACATAAAGCACATCTTCCTTTGATGAATATACGAAAAGGAAATACAGACTTTTGCAAGCAATATTCTACAATAGACTATACTTTTACAATCATAAAATTAACTAAAAAGTATCCAGAATGCAAGATCCTACTGTGCTTAGTGTTTATTGGCCCACCCCCCCCAAAAAAATATCATTTGATTTAATAGAACAAAATTGCCTTTTAAATGCTCTTCCTCAACAATGTGTCGTATATATGTAGATGTATGCATTTAAGTATATATTGTTAAAATTATATAAGATTCCTTGAAAGATGTAAGATGGCTATTTTATTCAACAGCCCTATAGCTGTTAATATTAAACAAGGCATAAAACAGAGGTAAAAAATAATGTTTCCCAAAATGTTTGCCATTATCATTAGGCTGTCCAGTACTTGACCCAGATTCTCTTGTTCACAGATGATACAGTTAATCAAATATTGTTGAGCCTCCTAAATAAGATCCGTAATTACTTAAGAGTTTGGTCTGATTGTCCATGCAGAAAAAACAAGTAGATGAAGAATGCCTACTATTCTTTCTGTGATAGGTAATTGGATGAATAATCCATAAAGCAGGTTTATGAGTGCATATAACTTGGACAAACATTGCCATTATATAATGAAGTGATCCCATAATCGAATAGGAGGAAAAAAGTAGTCTGGATTACATTTGGTAAAATGCACAGTGCTTTTAATAAACTCAGGCTTTTCTCTGAAACAAATGTCTGTCTTTCCAACATCAACATATTTCTGGTTAAATAGCATTGTTGTGAATCACAGATTTCCACAATCTCCAAAGAATTAATGTTGTTAGTCGCCCAAAGAATAATGGAGAGGTGTTTGGTGAAGAGGCTTCAACGTATTACTGATGAGGAATTGCACAGAAGTGGCATCAAAGATGTCGTAAGGGAAATGAATGATGAGAGAGAGGGATAGCTTGATCATGTAGTAAGAGTGAGGGGTAACTAATTGACAGTTGGAATACTTTATCAGTATCTGTGCATTGACAGTAGATCAGAAAGGACACCCCTTCCCCCAGCATATTTGGTGGACCCCTGTAGAGGATTTATTTCAGGCAGCGGACAAGAATTTCACAGAACTAGCAGACACAGTTGGGTTTTTTATCTTCAGTGTGGAAAGCAGTACCTATACAGATGAAATCATTGATCATATGCTCATAATCTACCATTTTATTTAGGTAAGATTTTACAAATTAGTTTTTGTTCTAATGCAGTGTTGCCCTTGGTGTCTACATTTATCTTCTTATCACAGAGAAGTTATTTGCTAGCAAAGAAAGTTTCTAGGATATTTGGGGCTCTTCATTATGGTTACTGATTTACATTAAAGATTTATATAGGAAATGGTTACAGGCTGTGTCAATAGCTATTCTTTTATCCATTTCCCATTTTTGACATCTCTAGCTCGTTTAAATAAGTAATCTTAGAGTGCCTCAGTCACATACCATATCTTTTCATTCTTAGTTTTTCTTCTACTCTGACATTGTACAATGTGTCCCAAAAGTCCTAAAGCAGTACTAAGCATTAATAGCTTTTAATAGCTTAAAACTTCCGTAAGATTTAGGAGGCACCTTGTATTTGAACTTTGCTTTGTGGGATTATACCATCTCCTCTAACTTTACCTTCCTCCTTATTCCATACCTATCTAAAAAGAGGATTCCCATGATACCACAATGACCTGGGGTATAAGATTTAAATATGAGACCTTTGCCTATTAGGATAAAAATCATAGCACACAAGCAAATATAAAACTAATTAAATTGCTCTTATTTTCCCTGCAATTGTTAAGGCACTGCTTCTATTGAGTCAAATGGGAATCAGGTAGATTCAGTGGATAACAATTTTGCCCTAGAAAAAAATTGAAACAGGTGTGGTATCTTCCCACCTTCTTTATACCCTCCTTGTACCAACAAATACAACCCCAGATAACCCTCCTCTGAATCAATACTTTATCCCCAAACTCCTATCCAGTATTTTATATCTACTGATTCCTGATAAAAGACTAGATTATAACTACAATGTTGCTTAGGATTGTGATGAAGACTAGGCCTGTGATTTTATTAATAGAATAAATCACGGATGAAAAATGCTTGCAGCCAATGTAGGTTAGTACTTTATCTACAATTAAAAATCAGAGATATGTTGAGTACTGAGGGGTTAAGTGACTTGCCCAGGGTCACAGAGGCAGCACTTGAACCCGGGTCTTCCTGGGCCAGCCCTTTACTGCACCATGATACCTCTCATTGCTTAAAATGTTTAATTCTTATTAGGGAATCCACATTTTCATATAAAAGCATTCTTGAAGACTAGAAACCTAGCTGAATAATTCTTGAAGACTAGAAACCTAGCCCCCTTCATCTAGACTGCCACCTACTAATAAGTAATGTATGTTTGTTATCTCATCTTCCTCCCTACATTCATGACTCAGGCATGTAATACATGAATGATAGTCTAGAGCATTGAGATATATATATATATATAATAACATGGGAAAGATAAGCATGTAAATGGTATTGAATTCTTTATTCCCTCAGCAATATATATGATAGAAATATGTAATTTGGGAAAAGAGGAATCTGTACAAAAGTGTCATATTTAATATGACTAGAAATTACTTTGAATGTTTTAGTTAATTGATTTTTCCAGTTGGTTTAATTCCTAGGACAGCCTTTAATATTTAATTATGTATTTTATATTATCTTGCTTTCATTTTTGATCACAGGTTATTCAGAGAATATTCTACACAGTCAACAGATCCTGGAATGGCAAAATCACTTTGACGGAACTAAGGAAAAGCAACTTTTTGCAAGTATGCCAATGACTTATTGTCAGATTTAAAGAGCACATTATGTAGTAGCATATCTTCTTGGAAGCTTTTTATTTAATGGAAGATTCATTTTGATGCACACTCCTCTAGGCCTGCCTAGGGAAAAATGGCATCAAAATCTTTTTTGAGAAAGGATAAAGTCCATATTGTTGCTAGAACATTTTAACAAAGGAATCATAGGTTTAGAGTAATGCCCACTTATTGTAGTCTGTCAGTGAATGACCTTGCTTATTGTCTATAATACTGTCTATAAATAGTTAATAACTATGTGAAAATCAAAAACATAAGGGGATTATTCATATTATGGTAGAAAGAAAAATGAAACATATTATTGTAAATAAATATGCTAAATTAATCTTAGGTTGTAGTATGAACATAGCTTAACATAATTGTGTTCATTTCTGCATCTATAACAGATATGGCACACCACAGTCAGAAGTCTATGGTACATTCACATAAATATCTTTGTTTACACAATGAAACGCCAGTGTCATCATAATTAATTGAGTACTCACAAATTACATTGCTAAATGTTATGAAATCCAAAGGTATGCAGGAGCAGGGGGAGGCACTAATTGAGAATAGAAAAAAAAACAGTCCCTCAAAGATCCTATTAATAATTGAACTAAGAAAAATACATTTCTAATTAAAATATATGTACAGAAATATGGAAACATGCTTTGGGTATATACAGCTGACGTTGGACTAAGGGTAATTATACTCTCTTTTGCCTTAAAGAAGGTGTTTTAAAGGATATGCTTTGATAGAGCTATAGCTCACTAATGTCAATAATTCCTCAAACAATGCAGATAATAACCTATTAATACCTCGTGCCCGTAATTTCCCATAAAGCTTCTACAAGGGATCCTCCCAACATGGTAAGGGCCTTTCCTCTAGATTTCTTGACATTATTGCACATGGTTACCTATGATATACACAAGTTGTCCTTTAGTTATCTCTAGTTAGCACTGTGTTACCAGATGTTTCTAGCCAGAAACATCTCTGATAATATCCTTTATAATAATTCTCTGGCATAGTTCTTTGTTGATGATAAGCTGCGTCTTACACACAGTCCACTGTATGTTTCTCCATTGTCTTTTTGGTGATTATAGTATTACGTGATTCACCATCCATATTGCATCACCAGAAATATATTGATGTTAAAAAGACTGGGCCTTTGATTCAGGGGGAAGTTTAGGGTCATTGAAAACACTGCTCTCTTTTTTCTATTATATTCCTAGTACATTGTCTAGCTTCAGTATTTATACAAAATGCTACCTGTATGATCTATCTATTCAAATATGTAGAATAGTAAGAACTGTAACCATTCTCATTCACTTGATTTTTCCTGTGCAGAAGGTTAGGCTGAATTCTTTTGAGTGATTACAGATTACATTTAGCAGTTTCTGGATTTTAAAAAAGCAGCTCAGTGTCATTTGCAAGACCTCATCCTCTACAGTGAGTTCCTCTTCAATATGTACTCTGCCCTCTACATCCTTCATAACAGTGTCTAACTCCTTTAGTGAACATATACGTCCCAATTTTTTCGCCATGACTGTTACTTGATATTAATAATTTGAGGATCATCTGGAGTGTTTTTAAGGATTAGACTTGAAAGGACAATAGATGGACAAAAATCAAAAAGACCTGTCAAAAATTTTATAACAAAGTATTCTTCATCCATGACAGTAGAGCCACCAATCAACATCCACTCACATCTGTCTTCAATCTAGCCTAATCCTGGATCTCCAACTATGTTTTCTCACTATTCTGAATAATGTCTTTACATTGTAGGCAGGCTAATCTCAGAATCATAAAATCTCATAGATAGGAGAGACCTCAGAAGCCATCAGTCCAATGAGTACTTTACAGTATCCCCGACATTCAGCATTAGATTAAAACTTTTATTTAAAGTGAAGAAGATTATTGCTTATTAGGAAATTACAAAAGCGAGGAATTCAGAGAAATATGGAAAGATCTAGGGAGAAGATTCTGGGAAGATGGCAGAGTAGATCAGAAAATTCTAAGCTCTGTACATTTCCCCCACAAACAAGATAATATAGCACCTCAGGACAAATATAGAGCAGTGGTTCTCCTGGGACAATCACAGAAGATCTGAAGAAAAATCCCAGGATCCAGGTTCAGTCCCTATGAAGAGTACACACCTCCAGGCTGAAACAGCAAGAGGCAAGCTCTGGGGCTAACTGGGTTGGGAGATACCCTGAGCCCCAGGCACAGGAACTTTCACTTCCTAGTCAGTATCGAGACTCAGGCATCTGAGTCAGGGAGGATTGAGAGAACCTCTGCTAATAAGGAACACCAGACCTAGCTATGCTGCTGAGACCTGGCACTGGGCAAGAAGGAAACAGCACACACCTGACCAGTGCAGAAGCATTGGGGCCAGAAGCTGCTGGCTGTAGGCACTTAGAGGAGAATGGAATTCTTGGTTTTGCTTCCAAGCTAAAGGGGAGAACTGAAGAAGGACCTGAGGCCAGAGACAGCATTACCCAATGCCCAGGACTAGAGGTGATTACAAAAATAAGCTGCTACAAATAAAAAAAAAGATCAGGCAAAGGAGAAAGAATCCAACCATAGAAGGTTACTATGGGAATAGAGAAGACTGGGCAGAGGAGGACACTGAAGCAAAAAAAGCCTCTCCTGTCCCAAAGAGTAACTAACATCAAATGGTCACCTGCCCAAAGAGAACTCATAGAAAGATTTCAAAAATCAAGTGAGAGCAGTTGAGGAAAATTGTTTTAAAATATAAGAATAATCCAAGAAAAACAAGAAGATTATGAAAAGAAAGTCAACCAATTAGAAAAGGAGATCCTGAATATTAAGGAAGCAAATTACTCCTTGAACATTAGAACCGGGCAAGGGGAAGCCAGCAAAGTTATGAGACCAAGAAATAATAAAACAAAATATAAAGAATGAAAAAATAGAAGAGAATTTGAAGCATCTTAAGAAAAACAACTGATCTAAAGAACAGATCAAGAAGAGAAAACATAAGAATAATCAGACTGCCTGACAGTTGCAATCAAGAAAAGAATCAATACAATAATGCAAGAAATAATTAAAGAAAGTTGTCCTGAAGCATTAGAACAAGAGGGGAAAGTAGAAATAGAAAAACTCTCACCTGAAAGAGACTCTACAAGGAAAACCTACAGAAATATAATAGTCAAATTCCAAAACCCCCAGCTCAAGGATAAAATATTACAAGCAACAAGAAAAAAACAATTTAAATATGGCAGTGCCACAATTAGAATCACACAAGACCTTACAGCAGCGACGCTAAAATCCTACGGTCTTGGACCACTATATGTCAAAGAGCAAAAGAACTGGGGTTGTGACCAAAAGTATCATACCCAGCAAAGTTAAGCATAATCCTCAATGGGGGAGGGGGGGATATTTAATGAATTGTCAGACTTTCAGGATTTTGTTCACAAAAAAACCTGAACTTAATAAAAGATTTTAACATATAAGATCCAAGAGAAATATAAGGAATATATCAAAGACTAATTACAAGGGACTAAATACAGACAGACTGTTTACCTTTTATATGAGGAAATGTAAAACATATGTCTAAGATTGTTATTAGTATTTGAGTAGTTCGTAAAAAGGATGGGGGTAGACCTGAGTATGAAATTATTTTAAAAAGTAAAACCGTTTAGGAACAGGTAAAAAGAGGAATTATTTTATAAAAATGAGGTGTGAGCGGAAGAACTAACACAGAGGCATTAGATGGGGGAGGAGGACTGGTACTTCTGGAACCCTACTTTCATAGGGAATAGGTTTAAGAGGGAACAAAACATATATCTTTAGAAGGGTGTAAAAGTCTTCCAAATTCAGAAAGAAATAAAAGGCTTAAGGGGATAGGGAATGGGGAGAGGATAAGGGAGATTATTAGAGGGGAGGGTGAGGTGATGGGATATGGTGGGGTATGGGAAGATACGAGAGGGGTCCTTGGAAGGGAGGTAGGTTAAGTAATAGGAGGACAAGGTAGTGGGTAAATGTAAAGTAGAGGAGTCAGGAGGTATAAGAAATACGAGATACATAAACATAAAGATCAGGAGTAGAATTTATTAGGAAAAAAACAGCTAGTAATCATCTTAGACAAAGTTAAAGCTAAAAGAGATTTAATCATGAGAAAAATGGGGAAATTACACTATATGTCAGCATATTAATATTGTTTTAGACTGTTTAAAATAATCAGACAATATGAGGATGGAATATTGTTGTAGTATAGAAAATGACAAGTTGGTAGACTTAGAAAAATATGGAAAAACTTGGACTTATGAAGGAAGAGGTTATCCATCCTTAAGTAAACCATCATCAGAAGGGAACAGTCAGAAAGTAACAAGGGAAAATCGGGGGAGGGTGGGGCAGGACTGAAATTAACCAAAGATTTCAGGAAGGAGAACTCAAAGACCTTCAACATAACCAAATAAATCAACAGGAAAATCATTGACAGAAGGAAATTATAGTAAAAATAGTAAATTAATTCAGGCATCTATGAATAAATATTGCAAAACAAAGGAAAATGATCCAACACTTGATGAAACTGAGGCTCCTGTGGAATGAGAGAAGAGTGTAGAACCACAATATACTGTTCCTGAGTGGATCAAGGGAGAAATGAGAATTGTGAGAGCAGAATTTATGACCGGCACAGCAAAAAAAAAGGGGGAAATAGAAAAACTGGAATCTGAGATGGCAAGTCTCAACAAAGAATCAGAAGAAAGCAATAGATTGGGAGTGCAAATGCACAGAATTGAAGGACAACCTAAAAGAAGAGAATCAAAAAACATACCCTTTCATACCTTTAAATCAGAGACTCCATTACTGGGCTTATACCCCAAGGAAGCCATTGATAAGAAGCAAGTCCCTGTATACACCAAAATATTTATAGCAGCACTTTTTGTGATCACTGAGAACTGGAAACGAAGTAGATGTCCACCCACTGGGTATTGGCTAAACAAAGAGTGGTACATGAATGTGATGAAATATTACTGTGTTGTAAGAAATGATGCACAGTAACAGCACCATTGTGCAATGACTAACTTGACTGTCCTCAGCAATGCAAGGATCTAAGACATCTCCAAAAGACTCATGATAGAAAATGCTATCCACATCCAGAGAAAGAACTATGGAGTCTGAATGCAGATTGAAGCATACTATGTGCTCTCTTTTTTGTTTGTTTGTTTCTTCTTTCTAATGCTTTCTCCCATTGGTTCTAATCCTTCTTTACAACATGACTAATGTGAAAATATGTTTAATATGAATGTATATGTAGAGACTATATCAGATTTCACCCTATCTTAGGGAAGGGGAAGGAGGGGGAGAAAATTTAGAAATCAAAATCTTATGGAAGTAAATGTTAAAAACTAAAAATAAATAAAAATAAATTATGTATGTGATGAATATAGAGAAGTATGAAAATATGTATGTGAACTTCTGCAGAGTGAAATAAGCAAAGAAAACAATATACGTAGTACATCCCCTTTCCATATTCTACTCTACTCCTTTTGCCCTTTCTTTTCTTTCCTCCATTAAAGCCATCAGAAGAGAACAATTCATCCCTGAGACTTCTCTTTTTCTTATTTAACTCCCTAACTGCCCTTTGAAGACATTACGGTTCAGAAGGAACATTTATTTCTTCTCCCTTTATTAGAATGTTGGTACTGCATCATCATATAATTCCTTTCAGTTGCTCAAATAAATTTACCTTTCTAGGTTTCTCTGGTCTCTCATGTTTATATTTCAAAGTTCCTATTGAGCTCTGGTATTTTCATAAGAAATACTTGCAACGGGGATATGGCACATCTCCACATGGAGGACACCAGGGAGAAGCTGGCATCTCTCCATGTGGAGGAAGCTAGGGAGCTACTTCTGAAAGACTCACAAAAACACATGAGGGAAGTGTCTTGGAGGGACAGACTGTGAAACCTGCATAGACATTCTGTAACTGGTTCTGATCAGCTACCATTGTGATAAAGAGGAGGCTCTTTGGCTATGGAGCCATTCCAAAAAAGGCATGTCATTTTTTTTCTCTCTTTAATAATTTTTTCTGGGTACTTACATAGTCCTTAAGGAAAATCCAGTTTTTCTTGGTGTCTCTGTTTCTAATTGTGGAATTATTCTCTCCTTCTAGGTTAAATTTTTAGGTTATCTGTGGATTTATAATGGGGTTTTTTTCAGTTTTTGTTTTTGCTTTTTTGGAGGCTAGGCAGTGGGGTTAAATGACTTGCCCAGGGTCACACAGCTAGTAAGTGTTACGTGTCTGAGGCTGGATTTGACCTCAGGTCCTCTTGACTCCAGGGCTGGTGCTCTATCCAGTGTGCCACCTAGCTGCGCTTACAATGATTTTTTTTATCGTTGCCAATGTCTTTTTTAGTTTACTCATATCTCCCAACCTTAGTTCTTAAATTAAGACTTTGTGCCAGGGCGAGACTCCACCTTAAGTCTTGAGAGAGTTAACTCTGTTTGGTCTTCACATGGGTGGTGACCTGAGTTCCTCTGCTGAGCTCTGCCTCCCATGGTTATGCTCCCTTTTTTCTGTGAGGTTCAGAGTGCTTGATTTTCAGAGCTCTCTATGGTGTTAGGGGCCTTGGAGCCCCCGGGCCAGAAGGGTCCTAATACCAACACTGAAGTACAATACTAGTTGTTGCTGTTCTTGACGGCTTCCAATGTCCAAGGTATCAATTTCTGACTTCCCCTGAGTCTTTCTTAAAGGAGCCTTCCCTTCATAAACTCCCTCCAGATACAGAGCCTTGAAGTCTCCAGGCTGTCGCTAGGTTGCTTTTCTCAAGACTGCTATCTGATTTGCGTGGCATGGCACTGACTTTTCTGTCAAGCCTCTTTTCCATCGTCACTGGATTTCTAACTGATTTTTTTTCTGCAGTTCTGTCATGAATGAAGTTACTTAACTATATTTTCTCGTTGAATTTCTTGATGATTATTCAGTCTAGTGCTATTTTTAGGTTTCTGCTGGGGAAGATATTGTGGTACCTGGGCTTCCTGCCTCCATTCAGACAGACATCTTCCCTGATCCATCTCATTAGAAGGGACATGATGTTATAATTTGTCAGTTCCATGTGCATTTATTTAGCAACTGCTGTGCACCAGATCCTATGCTAGGTGTTGAGGCTACAAAGAAAAAAAAAAAGAAACAGTCCCTGTTCTCAAGGACCTTCTATTCTCCAGGGTGAGAATATGTGTACATAGATAAATAAATACAAAATGTATGCAGAGAAAATAAAGAGCAGTTAGAGGAAGGGCACTAACAGCTCAGAGACCTAATCATGGAATTTGAGAGTTGGGAGGAACTGCAGCAGCTAGCAAGTCCAGACCATACCAAAAGGACTTCCTGTTCCAATATCTGGCTAATGGTCATCTGGTCTTTACTTGCAGACCCCCCAGCCGAGGGGAACCTACTATCTCCTAAGAAGCTTTCCTGATATCAAATCTAAATTTGCCTCCTTGCAGCTTTCACCCATCACTCCTGGCTGGCCCTGCCCTCTAGGCCAAGCAGAACAAATCTAATCCTTTCAGATAATTAAAGACAGCTATCATATTCCTACTGAGTTGCCTCTTCTCCAGGCTAAACATACCCTGTTCCTTCAGTTTTCATTTGACATAAAACCAAGGCCCTTTATCACCCAGGTTTTCCTTCTATGGATACTCTCTAGCTTATCAATGACGTTCCTAAATCATCATTTCCAAAATCAAACACAGTACCCCAGATGGGGACTGTTAGAAGCAGGGTACAGTTCCCTGTTCCTAGAAGCTGTGCCTCTCTTAATGTAGCCGAAGGTGACATGAGCTTTGTTAGCTGCTGTACCATATGGTTCAGTTCTGTTGCTTATAATCCATTAAAGTTCCCCAGAGCCATACTTATACTTCTGTGACAAAAAAAAAAAACCATCTCACCCCCTAAAAAGATCACAAGTTCCCTAATAGAAAAACCCTGGAGCAGCTAAGTGGCACAGTGAAGAGAGCACCGGCCCTCAAATCAGGAGGACCTGAGTCTTTCTTATAGGAGCCTTCCCTTCATAAACTCAGGAGGTTTAAATCTGGTCTCAGACTGCACACTTGACACTTACTAGCTGTGTGACCCTAAGCAAGTCACTTAACCCCAATTGCCTCACCAAAAAAAAAAAGAGAGAGAGAGAAAAGAAGAAAAAAAACCCTTAAAATGGAAACCAGCCAAACTAAACACCCCTGATAACAGGTCTTTTCTTTAAAAAAAATTAGGCACCTTTCCCACCTAACAAATGGATCTCTCTCTCTCTCTCTCTCTCTCTCTCTCTCTCTCTCTCTCTCTCTCTCTCTCTCTCTCTCTCTCTCTCAGTTCTTGTCCACATGTACTGTCACCCTACATAGACTCTCCAGGAAGCACCAAAGTATGTCCTGATCGAGCACTGGAATCAAGCCTATGAGTTCCTGAACTTCAAATAGGGATTGCTCAGGTTTAGGAAGTACACAGACTTTTCTGAGGAGGGGCAGCAGCAGTGTAGATGGAGGTTGAGGGGGTGGGGAGCAGGAATTGAAAAATTTCCCAAAGAAAAAGCTTTAAGGTCCCAATCACAAAGCAAATGTCATCTCAGTCTGCACTTTCCAGGTCCAACAGCCTTCTTATCCTGTTTACTCTGAAAATGTGTATTGTCCATCTGAGGTGACTGCTCATTTTGGTGACTACTATACATGTACAGACCTGGAGGTGGGGCAGGGCAAGGCCAGCTAGGTGGCACAGTGGATAGAGTGCCAGGCTTGGAATCAGGAAGACTCATCTTCCTGAGTTCAAATATGGCCTCATACACTTAAGCTGTGTGACCCTGGGCAAGTCATTTAACCCTGTTTGCCTCAGTTTCCTTAGGTGTAAAATAAGCTAGAGAAGGAAATGGCAAATCACTGTAGTATCTTTGCAAAGAAATCCCCAAATGGGGTCATGAAGAGTCAGAAACAACTGAACAGAAGGGGTGAACCGGTGAGCAGGGCTGTCCCTTCTCCCATCTATCCTTCACACTCTGGTCTGAATGTATTCCTCTCATTGTGTCATTCTTCTACTCAGAAACTCTCTCCACTGTCTACACTGGTGATACAGAGTCAGAAAAGTTTGGCATAGTGCTCCCTTCCCTCTCACATAATGACTTCCTTTGACATATAGACACTCCCGTAGGCTCTGAAAAGTGGTGTCAAAATGAAAGGGGTCTGTTTTAGATCTAGATTATAACTTGTTGAGAACAAGATTGGTGTTATTTTTCACTTTTGTATCCCCTGAACCTAAAAAAGTCCTTAGCACATAGTAGGTATTATACACTACTGATACAAAATTTGTTAAAATAGCTATTTTCTTAATCTTCATAAAAATATCAAATTGTAATAGCTCCTACTTCACGGGGTTATTGTGAGGATCAAACCAAGAGAATGTATATACAACCCTTTGCAAACCTTAAAACACTATAAAAATGTGAATTATTATAAAGTCACTATAATAAAAAATTGTCATGAGGTCTTCAGGCTTTTCCTATATTGACTAAAGCTTCTATTTCATTATTTTACAATAAATTTTTCCTTCTGTTCATATAATTTCAGACGTTAGCCCTTTTGGAAGAAGAAGAAGACATAAATCAAATCACAGATTACTTCTCCTATGAACACTTCTATGTCATTTACTGTAAATTCTGGGAACTAGACAGTGATCATGACCTCTATATCAACCAAACTGATCTATCCAGGTACAATGACCAGGGTAAGTTGTTCTGCTAATCGTACCTGTATTGATCATATTTTAGTACACGTACTGCCAAATTAGGCGCAGGATTATTGGTTCTCAAGATGAATACTGCAGTTAATAAAATCTTACTCATTCTATTAGTTGGAACATCCATTTCTTCATGGAAAAATCTAATGAACTGGTTATTTTAGAATAGAAAATGTAAAAGTTTAAAGAAGTGAGATTATTTTGTTCAGAGTTTATTTTTAATGTGCTGATTTTAGTGGGGGTTTTTTCATCACTGTCATTTTCCAATAATGCTCCTCCCTTGGAACCCCACCTTGTAATAGGGAAACATTTAAGAAACAAACCTACCAGTCAAACATATCTAACAGCATATGCAGCATTCTCCAACTGCAGTCTATCTCCTGTTTATTGAGAGGAGGGAATTATGCTTCATCAAACCTCTGGACCTAGTCATTGGGTTATCCATAATTCTTGTGACATTTAGTGTTCTTTAAAATGTTTTGTTGATGTTTTTTAAAATATCTTTGTTGCTCCTGGTATCCTCCTATACCCTAGCAGAAACCTCCACTGTTACAAACAAGTATAATTAAGCAAAATAATCTAAAACATTTTCCGTGTCTGACAACATATGCTTCATTCCATTTCCAGAGTCTACTACTTCTCTACCAAGGAGAGAGATGTTCCATGTTAAATCCTCTAGAGTTAAGGTTGATCATTGCCCTGAACAGAGTTCTGATATCTTTTTTAGTGTTGTTTTTTACTTCCCATCATTGTGCGTATTGTCCTCTTAGTTTTGCTTTCTTTGTTCTGTATTAGCTCATACATGTCTCTCCAAGGCTCCCTGAGTTCCTCATGTTTGTCATTTCTTATGCCACAGTAACAAGCCATTACACATCCCACAATTTGTTAAGCTATTCCATAATTCACGGCACCTACTTTGTTTCAATTTTTTTTGTTCCTGCTTATATTAATATTGTGGTAGATATGGAAATGTCTTCCACTGTCTTTGATCTCCTCAGAGTATATGACCAGCAGAGAATGATGTTGAATCAAATGTCGAACATTTTGGGTATTTTTTCAGTGAGATTCCAAATTGTTTTCCAGAATGGCATGACCAGTTTACAATTCTACCAGCAGTGCCTTTGTGTGTCTATCTTCCCACAGTTACTCTAACATTGACGATTTATGTCTTTTATTATCTTTGCTAATTTGATGTTTTAGTGAAACTTCAGAGTGATTTTAATTTGCATTCATCTTATTATTAGTGATTTGCAGCATTTTTTTTGTTTGTTGCCAGTTTACATTTCTTCTTTTGAAAACTATTTACAATAATTTTACACAGTAACAGCAATATTGTAAAGATAACTATGAAAGACTTAGTAACTCTGATCAGTACAATGATCCATCACAATTCCCACCTCATAATGAAAAATACTATCTACATCCACATGGAGAACTGATCCACTTAGAATGTAGATTAAAGCATTTTTTTCTTTCTTTTTTTCGTTGTTTTTGTTTTGTTTTGTTTTTCCAGAATGTGGTTAATGCAGAAATTAGTTTTGTGTGTCTTCATATTTGTAATGAGTTTTATCTTGCCTTCTCAATAGATGGGAGAGGGAATGGAGAGGGGAGAAATCAGTAAAGAAAAAATGAAAATTGTACATAGCCATTGACCACTTCTCCATTGAAAGAATAGCATTTGGTCTTGAGTCAGTTCCTTCTATAGTTTAGATTTTTTTTCCCCTTGATGGTTTCTCTTCTTATTCTAACTATACTGATTTTATGTGTATGAAAACTATTAATTTTTTGTAATTGAAATGGACTATCTTTTACAATCCCCTCAAGTCCTTACTTAGTTAAAAAATTCCACCTGTAACCACAGATCTTATTCCAGCTCTCACTTTTTATGGTATCTTTTATCTAAGTGGGGGTTATTATCATTATCATATAGTGTAAATTTATGGCCTAAATCTGTTTTCTGCCAAACTACTTTGAAGTCTTCTCAGAAGTTCTACCCCCCTCCCCTAGTAGTTTACATATTTTCAGTTTTCCAAACTATACACTATTGAACTGTTTCTCATTGGGAAATAAGTGATATACAAACTTAATTAGACTCTTCTGTCTAACTGGCCACAGAACATCCTTCACATTTCATCTGGTTACACTGGATGTACCCAAGCTATCTTGTTAAACAACATTATAAAGCCATAGTCATCAAAACTAGTTCACACTGAAGTATGAACTTGTAGATCATTAGAACAAACTAGTTAAGAAACAGAAACAATCAAAACAATAGCCCGATTTTTGGTAGATAACATTGAGTATAAATTACTAGGAGTCAGGACAACAACTGTTGTGTAAATTCAGAAACAATTGGGCAAAAATTTGGTTAGTCCACCAGCTTAAATGTTACCCATAAAGTAAAAGAAAATGCAGACCCCAAAAAAACCCAAGATGTAATAAAGTAAAAAAGTATGCCAGTCTGCATTCAGATGCCATCAGTTCTTTCTCTGAAAGTGGATGGCATTTTTCATCATAAGTCCTTCAGAATTGTCTTGGATCATTGTATTGCTGAGAATAGCTAAGTCATTCATTGATTATCATAAAATATTGCTGTTACTATGCACAGTGTTCTCCTTGTTCTGCTCATTTCACTTTGCGTAAGTTCATATAAGTCTTCTCAGGTTTTTCGGAAAGCATCCTGCTTTGTTATATATAACACAGTAGTATTCCATCACATTTACCACCACTTCTCAGTAATTCTGCAATTGATATGCATCACCTCAATTTCCAATTTCTTGCCACCACAAAAAAAGAGCTGCTATACATATTTTTGTACATATAGGTCCTTTTCCTTTTTTAAAAAATCTCTTTGGGATACAGACTTAGTAGTGCTGTTGCTGGGTCAAAGAGTGTGAACAGTTTTATAGCCCTTTGGGCGTAGTTCCAAATTGCTCTCCAGAATGGTTGGACCAGTTTACGACCCCATTAGTGTTTCTGCATCTCCTCCAACATTTGTCATTTTCCAAATGTCATATTAGCCAATCTGATAAGTATGAGATGGTACTTCAGAGTTGTTTTAATTTGTTTTTCACTAATCAGTAGTGATTTAGAGCATTTTTTTATATTACCACAGACAGCTTTCATTTCTTTTTCTGAAAACTGCCTATTCATATACTTTGATCATCTATCAATTGGGGAATGACTCATATTCTTATAAATTTGGCTCCATTCTCTATATATTTCAGAAATGAGGCCTTTATGAGAGAAATTTGCCATAAAGATTTTTTTCCTAGTTTTGTCCTTCCCTTCTAATCTTGGTCGCATTGGGTTTTTGGTGCAAAAACGTTTTTAAATTTGATATAATCAAAATTATCCATTTTATATCCTGTAATGCTCTCTATCTCTTTTTTGGTCATAAATTCTTCCTTTATCCATCCCTTAATAAGTAGGATCCTAATAAATAATTTCATCACTAATATGTTTATGATAGTTATGTCTAAATCATGTACCCATTTTGACCTTATCTCAGTATATGGTATGACATGTTGGTCTATACCTTGTAATTGTGTCCTTTTTTTTTTCCAGTTGTATCCAACTCTTTGTGACCCTATTTGGGGTTTTCTTGGCAAAGATACTGAAGTGATTTGCCATTTCCTTCTCCAGTTCATTTGACAGATGAGGAAACTGAGGCAAACAGGGTTAAGTGACTTGCCCAGAGTCACACAACTAGTAAATGTCTGAGGTCAGATTTGAACTCGGGGTTTTCCTGACTTCAGGCCTAGAACTCTATCCACTGTGTCACCTAGATGCCTATACCTTGTTCAGTTATTTCAATTGTGTCTGACTCTTCATGACCTTATTTGGGGTTTTTTGGGCAAAGATACTGGAGTAGTTTGCCATTTCCTTCTCCACAACTCATTTTACAGATAGGAAACTGCCTGTAACTAGTTTCTGCCAAACTGCTTTATAGTTTTCCAGCAGTTTTTATCAAATAGTGATTTCTTGTCCCAAAATCTTGGATCTTTGGGTTTGTCAAGTACTAGATCATTATAGTCATTTAGTACTATGTAAAATATTGTATACCTAATCTATTCCACTAATCTACCTCTCTGTTTCTTAGTCAGTACCAGATTAATCTGTTTTGATGATTACTGCCTTATAATATATTTTGAGGTCTGGTATAGCTAGGCTACTTTCCTTCACATTTATTGATTCCCTTAATAATACCTTTTGTTCTTCCAACTGAATTTTGTTGTTATTTTTTCTGACTCTATAATTTTTCAGTAGTTTGATTGCTGTGGCACTGAATAAGTAAATCAATTTAGGTAGGATTGTCATTTTTATTATATTGGCTCGACCTGCCTAAGATCAATGAATATTTTTCCAGTTGTTTAGATTTTGCTTTATTTGTGTGAAAAGTATTTTATAGTTGTGTTCATATAATATCTGGGTTTGTCTTAGCAGGTAGACTTCCAAGTATTTTATATTGACTGTAGTTATTTTAAATGGAATTTCTCTATCTCTTCCTGCTGGACTTTGTTGGTAACATATAGAAATGCTAATGATTGATGTGGGTTAATTTTGTATCCTGCAACTTTGCTGAGGTTGTTAATTATTTCAACTAGCTTTTTAGTTGATTCTCTAGGATTTTCTAAGTATACCATCATAGTTTGCAAAGAGTGATAGTTTTGTTTCTTCATTAGGTATTCTAATACTTTCAATTTCTTTTTCTTGTCTTATTTTTATAGTTTTCATTTCTAGAAAAGTACTAAATAATAGTGGTGATGATGGGCATCCTTGCTTCACCCTGTTCTTATTGGAAAAGCCTCTAACTTATCCTCATTACAGATGATGCTTGCTGATGGTTTTAGATAGATACTACTTACCATTTAAAGGAAAGCTCCATTTATTTCTATGGTTTCTAGTGTTTTTAATATGAATAAGTGCTGTATTTTGCCAAAAGCTTTTTCAGCATCTATTGAGATAATCATATGATTTTTATTGTT